ATATATATACTGTACGGTATATAGTGTATATATATATATATATATATATATATATATATATATATATATATATATATACATAGAAGAAACGCCTTCATGTGAGTTAATCTGATAAATAAAAAATAAAAAAATGTATACAATCAATATATATATATATATATATATATAGACACACACACACACATATATGGATGAAACACCCCGACATGAGTAGATCTCTCAAGTCAAACAGGACACTGCTAATTATACTCCACGGATTAGGTATTCTAAAACTTTCCAGAATGCAACTGCATCACCACCATATAAAACCCAGATGGTACTAGGCAATCCGAAGAATGTCAGAACAAAAGCAGAACGGTTTCCTGAGATCTAAGCCATACAGATCACTTACAGCCCGAGCAATGATGTCACCCTCTGTGGGAGCCATGACAGGGTGTTCTGGTTTCCCCAGCTGACACCCATAACAAAGAGAGTCTCAGTGTGAGGACAGACCCAAAGAGTCCATTTGAGTCCCAAACAAGCTCAAAGCTTTACATTGACAAACATACTGTTCTTAAACTGTGGCGAGGGTGAAAGACTCGAGGCAGAGAGTGATTTTTACGCCCATCTGCTGGACTTCACGGGACGGTGAAGATGATGAAGAGTTCTGCTGCTTCACTCCCTTTTGACAACTGACTTCATGCCAATCTTAAGACACAGTGTCTAATTGCATCCTTGAGCGATGTGGAGGATAATGTGCGACTCCCTCCTTGCTGCACATACGAACAACCCCTCTTCACCTTTCTCTCATATGATTCAGATTGCACGCCTGACACATGCTTAAAGTCTAAAGACTTTTGTGGATTTTAGCTCAAGTTTTTAGTGTTATATGATGTTTTCTCAAAAGTTAAAAAAGCTGATATTTTTTTTCAGTCTTTCTTTTGTGGAAAAACAAACCAAAAACAGTGATTGATAATTTGCATTAATATTAATCTATCTATCTTTCTCGAAAATAAAAAATAAATAATATTGAATAAATATACTATATATTGTATTTATATTATTCAGTGTGTGATATACACGCATATAAACATGAAACTATAAATATTTTAAAACATACTGAAAAAACTAAATATCTATCTAATGAATAAATATTAAGTAAATATCATAATAAATACTGAATAAATATTTTTCATATTTTAAGATATTACATTGTTATAGACTATCATACAAACTTTTAAAAATATTTCAGATTTTATATACACAAAGTAAATAAATAAGTACATATATATATATATCAGGTGTGACAAACTTGTTGCATCTTTCCCAAAAAGACTCATGGCTGTATTCGATCAAAAGGGTGCTTCTACTAAATACTGAGCAAAGGGTCTGAATACTTAGGACCATGTGATATTTCAGTTTTTTTTTTTTAATAAATCTGCAAAAATGTCAACAATTCTGTGTTTTTCTGTCAATATGGGGTGCTGTGTGTACATTAATGAGGAAAAAAAATTAACTTAAATGATTTTAGCAAATGGCTGCAATATAACAAAGAGTGAAAAATTTAAGGGGGTCTGAATACTTTCCGTACCTACTGTATATATATATAATGAAATCTGAAATATTAAATGTAATTGTCTTATGTTTTAATGATAGTCTATATGTGTATGTCCCATCTTACTTGCGCTGCATAAACATAAAACCATGTCTGCATTTGTGATCGGAGAAATGACAAACAACAAGCCCTACTCTACACTGCCCAAAAAACTCGCTTTAAATATAAAAAATATAATATATAAAAAACGTACTTGCAGTCTGTGTGTCAGAACAGCCGGCATTGTAGTGTACTCTACCAGGATCAGGAATCGGTCCTCCATAAAATGCGCTGGACACATCTGAATATTTGGGTTGAACTGTTCTGGAACAGTGTTGTAAATACAACTTAACCACTGATTTCTAGTTGTGTCAATTTTTGGAAGGCCAAACAAAGTAGTTTCACTTTCACAACGAAACACAGCGTCACACACGGTGGCCTAGAGGGAGCGGCGGCGGCCTATAGTGAGCAGAGGCCAGGGGCTAGAGTGAGGAACAGCCGGAGGGCTAGAGTGAGCAGAGGCGGCGGGCTTGAGAACGGCACGGCCGGCGGATTCGACGAATGATGCTTGCGGCAAACACATGTGACGACCCCGTGCTGGACTCCGCTTTGTCCACGGTGAAAGCCGATCCGGTGATCCACAGCGCAAAGTTGTTGTATTTCCTCAGCAACCAGCACGGATCAGCTCTAGGCATGACGAAGCAGATATTGTCCTCTTTTGGAAGGCCAAACAAAGTAGTTTCACTTTCACAACGAAACACACAGCACCTTCACGACATGGCGGCGGCAACAATACTACAGCGAGAATAAAAGTTATGCCTTCTTTCTTTGCGTGAACATTTGGGCGGCGTTATGCAAATCTTCCCACATAGTGACCTAGATATGTGGGGGCGTGATAGAACGAGCCGTTTTAGGTAGGTGTGGCTGATTCTTAACTTTTATAAAGAATATCTCTTTGGATTTGAGACTTTAGTCTTTGCAACTTTACAGATCTTCTTTATACACCAAGAGCTTGTAACACTCCAAAGAGAAAGGAAAATTAGAAAATCGCATCATATGACCCCTTTAACATTTAAACGTCAACACAGAACAAGTGTCTAAAAGCAATAAACTAAATTAGTTTGTACATTTTTGTCAGATATCTAAAAATAACACTCAAAGGCTTCTAATAAGTCAAAAATTACCTCCCGTCACACTAGCGGCGCAGCAGAAGCAAAAAGACAAGGTCTCCTTCATTGAGATTCAGAGTCAAGCTTGCAAGTCATGGGTACTTAACCAGACTAAAAGCCTGTGAATTATTTACACTGTCTGCTTTAACAGGCCCAAGCGTGTGTAGAGGCAACCAGGGATATGAGAAGAAAGCAATTAATATAAAAAGGCAGAGAGAGAGAAACAGACAGATGATTTAAATTAGCCATCAGTGAGTCATCACCGCAAAGTCAGTATTGAAGTCTGAAGATGAATGTCTCAGATAAACTAGCAAAGGAATCTTTGATGAGCTTACAAAAAGACTGCCAATGAAACGGCCGTATACGCTCAGCCTACATCAACTGAGAATTGTATGATTTAAAGATTTAATGATAAAAGACTGAAGTGTACGAATTAGATTGGACGGCTCACTCAGTTTTTCCATGGATTTCCACTGGAAACTCAAGCAGACGTTGATTCTGAAACATAATGCATTAATTCCATCATTCATCGCCTGAGATTAAGCTGATTCCTGGAGTCTCGGTCCACAGGCATCCTACAAACCTCCTTTGTGTTGAAACCAGTCCAGTCTTAAAGGGATAGTTCATTCAAAAATGAAAATTGCATCATTTACACATTCATGTCATTTCAAATCTGCAAGCGGTTTGTTTTCCTGTAGAACACTAAAGATTTGTTTTTCCAACACTGATTATCAACATACAACAAAAGTCTATACAGCACCATAAAGTATAATAAAAGCAGTCCATATAAAATTTTGCTCTATATTCCAATCTTAAGTCATACAATGCACTTTGCATGAAAAACAGGCCAAAATTTAAGTCATTATTCCATTAAAATCTTCCCCATCCAGTAAACTGTGCCTAAAACACCCATGTAATTTGACTGATTAAGAACCAGATTTATAATGTTGGGTCAGAGTCAATCTTGTCGAGTCCGAGGCCTTAACCAATTGAGTTTGAGTGGAGATGTTTATTAATGTCTTGTTATTTTAATTTTATGTTGTTACTTTTTTTGTCTTTCATGTTCTACATAATGTGGATTAAACTGTCCAAAATGTCAGAGTCTGTGTCAAGTTTGAGTACAAATCTACCCGAGCACATTTAAGTTAATTCATAATTACAGTATGAGTCCGAGTAAGAGTCCAAGTCTGAGTCCAAGACAAGTACCTCAAGTCCAATTTGTAACTGAATCGTTCTTTCAAGCCAGTTCTTTTCCACGAATAAGTTGACTGACTTGGTTCACAAATTGGACTGAATGATTCTTCACTCATACAATGATTCTAACTGGTTTATATGGTTTATACATATTTGTATGAAAAACTGTATAAATACATATATTATAAATGCACAAATGCTACAGCCTAATCACAAGACAAATACTGTATTTATATTCCACTACTCCTTTGATACATTTACTACATGACTACATTATTAATGTATTAAAATTTGACATGATTATCCCACATTTCTGCGACAATACTGTGGCACATTTAGTGTTACTACAGTGAATCCGAGAGGATAAACGGTCCATGTGGCACGCTTTAAATGAGTAGCGCTTAGGGCTGGGCTTTTCAGAACGTCTGACCGATTCTCGATTTTTATATGATTTTTAACTAGTCAAGTTGAAAATGTAACTACAACATGATTCAAGTAACTTTTTCCTTATTAACCCTCTAGTTAAAGAAAATTCTATTCCAAGTGCACCACACATGAAGATGTCAACATGATGTAAATGTTAAACAAATCACTTGTTAAATATTTTTGCAGAAAAGATCCATGAACTTCAACTAATTGTACAAATGTGTGTTATCTTGTGTATCTTGTACAAACTTGTCTTATACATACTATATGTATAGTGTCTCATGCATGAAATGGCATTCTAAAAACGCGGCGCTTAAGTTAAAAGAAGTTCACTCCCATCTTCTTGCATTTTTTCCTATTCCTATTTCGTCTTTGTCAACACGAAAGCGCATTCTGTATGAATGGTGCCTAGTGATATATTCTACGTACAGTCCTTAACTGAGAGCGTCACACGTGAGCGGTTAATCACGTGCGACGACATGCGAATTCAAGTAACTTTTTCCTTATTAACCCTCTAGTTAAAGAAAATTCTATTCCAAGTGCACCACACATGAAGATGTCAACATGATGTAAATGTTAAACAAATCACTTGTTAAATATTTTTGCAGAAAAGATCCATGAACTTCAACTAATTGTACAAATGTGTGTTATCTTGTGTATCTTGTACAAACTTGTCTTATACATACTATATGTATAGTGTCTCATGCATGAAATGGCATTCTAAAAACGCGGCGCTTAAGTTAAAAGAAGTTCACTCCCATCTTCTTGCATTTTTTCCTATTCCTATTTCGTCTTTGTCAACACGAAAGCGCATTCTGTATGAATGGTGCCTAGTGATATATTCTACGTACAGTCCTTAACTGAGAGCGTCACACGTGAGTGGTTAATCACGTGCGACGACATGCGATCGGATCGTTCTTTTCTCTTTACTGTTATCACCGGCATATTGTCAAACTGTCTAATTCTAACGATTGGTAACATTTCTATTGAAAATCGTGATTCCTCGATTTATAAAAAAAAAAAATTGCGGCAAAACATTAAATTCGAATTAATCGATAAAATCGGAAAAATCGTCCAGCCCTAGTAGCGCTGTTTCGGTCCTCTTTTGGTGTATAAACATTATATTGAACATTTATCAAATTCGTTATTGTTTTTTTAAGAAAACTATATCACGATAATTATTGTTATCGTTTTATCATCTAGCCCTAGTTACTATTAAAAAGGGAGCTGTGTAAATATTCTTCTAAATTCTCCTTTCATGTTAAACAGAAAACGGAATTCGGGTTTAGAACAAATAAATAATGACAAGCTACATTTTTAGGTCCAGTGTTCCAAAACTTTTCCAAAAGTGCATTACCTGTGGATCTGTCCATTTTTGTGAAGGTACTCAAGACCCTGAAGGACCTCTTTCAGCACAGTAGCTATACTGGGTTCATCCAGTACACCGTTCTTGTGTTCCCCCTTTGAAATGATGTGCTTTATAACATCCAACACAGAGCCTGCAACAAAGACAACAGAGAGCTGTAAGTAGACATAATGTTATACAGTCATTAACACTAGAAGAGCATCTGCGAAGGACACATGCTACATTCTAGAGCATTTTGTGGCAGACTTATAACATCAAAAACCAATGAGCTTCATTCTTGTGCGACCTTCTTACGTGCCTGAAAGTTTTTCATAAGGTCAGACACAAATTTCATAATCTATAAAAAAAATGGCTCTGGCTGCATCCCAAGAATCTTTGTTGTCTTTAAAAACAGTCTTTTAGTGTTGTTTGTATATATACACATACACACAAATTAATTTGATTATGTGACACCCAACAAACCAATATTGTTTTAACCCTAAGGAACAGAAATTTGGACACCAAAGCAACTGCACAGTAGGAAAACAATCAGTCAATCCTAATTTTTCCCATGACATTTAATTAATGCATATTCAAGAGTCCATGAGGAGAATGTTCCATCAGCAACATTATTAACCAGTTAGGCCATTTTTTGAGCTTGGAGGACAGCCAACACCTCCCGCAAACTGACAAAAGCTCCTGAGGGAAGTGAACGGCATAAACCAAAATACGGCTGGTCTGGCCTCCATGTGTCAGGGAACGCTCTGAATGGCCCGATTTCAGACATCGGTAAGACAAAGACAGTCTTGTTCATGCAACCGCCCTAGAGTTGCAATTCCTAACCATGTGAAAAGTTGGATTAAGCATAGCAAATAAAATTTTATTCCACTTAGCTTGAGTAATCAAAACTCTCCGAAATGAAATTCTGAGAAACTGAATTCTGAATTCCCAGAGTTCTGATCATGTTAACTGCTGTGGCATCGCTGATGCCAAAAGCAGAACTTTAAACCCTCGGGATGAAGAGGAGGTCGCGCAGCGTGCCGTCAGCGGAGTGGGTGGCTGACCAGTGTGTTTGTGGGGCAGAGTGACAGTCCAGAGGCACAATGATATTTATTTGAATGGAAACATAATATAACAACTGAAAAAAACTTGTCTATACACTACCTTTCAAAAGTTTGGCAGATTTCCAGTTCACTTTTCACAAAAATATTAAGCAGCACAACTGTTTTCAACATTGATAATAATAAGAAATGTTTCTTGAGCACAGAATCAGCATATTAGAAAGATTTCTGAAGGACCATGTGACATGGAAGACTGGAGTAATGATAATGAAAATTCAGCTTTGCCATCACAGAATTAAATTACAATTTATATTATATTAAAATAGAAATCTTATTTTTAAAATGTAATAATAATACTTCACAAAATTACTGTTTTTAATGTATTAGTAGTTCAAATAACAATCACCTTTTGTAAGCCATTTCAGAGCAAATACAAAAATACAAACACTGAATACTGTGTGGTCAAAAGGATAAAACTACAGATATACAATTTCACACAGGCCAAGAATACTGTATTTTTAAAGCGCAGCATGACTCACCAGGAAAAACTGAGAGATCATAGCCTAGGAAATCAAGGTAGTCTATCACACCCACAGCCTAGTTCATGGTAAAAGTGATTCCAAGAAACAGAAAAAGGGCTCATGTGTTTTCTTATTTTGGTTTCTTTTCTTCTTCTTTCTACAGCTCATTCTTCTTCCATGGATTAAAAAGGGCACCAACGACCTCCAAGTGGCCTGAAGGCTGTTTCATATAAAAATCAAATAAGTGAGCATTCGAATGAAAGACAAACAAGACAGCGAAAGCGTGTGTGTGCGGGCATGTGTGTGGCATGAAGCCAGTACACTGCTGACTGAGCGAACAGCACATCAAATTTCAGTGACAGCTACAACCTGGATTAAGAGCAGTCGAGCTCTTACAGAGAGAGAGAGAGAGAGAGAGAGAGAGAGAGAGAGAGAGAGAGAGCTTGGCAAATGACGCTACATTAGTTTACAAACCCGTGTGAGGCTGATGGGTGGGGCTGTTGAGTAAAACCAGCAAACATGCTTGGCGTCAGTAGAGATAATAATGTACTAATTTCCTACAACTCCCCTTAATCTTGAGCTCTAGAGTTAACTTAAAGACATAGTTCACCCAAAATATATAAAAAGCCTGTCATTATTTACTCACCCTCATGTTACAAACCATATGACTTTCTTCTGTGGAACACAAAAGGAGATATTTAGCAGAATGTTTAAGCTGCTCTTTTCCATACAACGAAAGTAAATGGTGACCACGAGTTGTCACAATGGCAAAAAACACCACAAAAGTTCTCTGAAAATATGTGGGCAATGTTCCCCCCTAAGCTGCACACGTGCGTGGTTCCGCACTTCTTATGTCGCTACCACGAAGAAGGAATAATTTGCCGTGCACAGGACACCCACAAAAAGGAGTTGGGAAAACCATTTGATAAGTAAATGCGAAATAATTGCAATGCTCGGGCAAACAGCTATAGAGTTGGCGCGCTATATTTATAGATTCATGATTTTTTTCTTTTAATATTTAGCTTACAGATCTTAGTTTAAATGCTTTGTATATTCTATTCTATTCTTTCAATTTAAATGCTTTAATTAGTTTTTATTAGTGCTGTCAAATGATTAATCGCATCCAAAATAAAAGTTTTTGTTTACATAATATATGTGTGTGTACTGTGTATATTTATTATGTATATATAAATACACACATACAGTATATATTTAAGAAAAATGTTATGTTTATACATTAAAAATATTTATATATAATATCAATTATATTAATACAAATATATACATGGAAATATTTTCAAAATATATATACTGTATGTGTGTGTATTTATTAGGGCTGTCAATGTTAACGCGTTAACGCATGCAATTAATTTTACAATCCTTAACGCGTTAAAATAATTTAACGCAATTAACGCAAAATTACTGAAGCACAATTTCTATTCTAACCCTTTAACCCAATTTTGCTACTCTGCTTGCGATTCGATCATTTTAAGCTGCTAAACTCCAGGAAAGTTTTCAGTCCAATGATTTAGTATGCGAATGCATTCAAACAATCCGTCCAAAACAGTGCTAATATAAAGGAAACCAGGCTGATTACATCAGAGACTGCAGAGAGAACAGAGACTCGTGTTGCGTTTTAAGTGAATTATTCATTCCAGTGTTTCGCTTTAAAACACGAGCTCTGTCATATTCTGTGATTGTCTGTGAAGAGCACGAGCCCTCACACATCACACGCGCTGTGTGAAGTACAGACTGAACAGATTGTCAACACATCCCACCGCTGTATGGCCAGATGAGACGCGACTGGATAACCAGTCTCGCTAGTAAAGTTTTGATGGATGAAGACTACAATCAAGGTAAAGACGATTGCGGTGGTGTACAGGAGTCGTACAGTAAGCACGCGTGAGTCCGTTATAATAATGCGTGTATGAGTGCTCTTGATGCACTGATCGCACATTGTATTGATGCACAGGCACAGACATTTCCGTACATTCACGTTGTTTCCACACACATTCACGATAATGTTTTGATTTGTCATGTTTATGTTGCTGTGTTTAGTTATACGGAATGGATTCATGTACTGTAGTACAGTGGTTCTTAAACTGGGGTACGCGTACCTCTGTTGGTACGTGAGGTGACGGAGGTGGTACGTGAACAAAATTGGCTGTTCAATAAGTAGATCTTCACTTAATAGCATGAAGAGCAAATATTGGCACAAACTGTACATTGAGATCGATTTAAACTCTCTTCAGACACACCCTGTGTTATTGTTTTCATGTTTAAAATACGAGCAAGGACGCAAATTTCTTTCCCTGAACATCCAAACGATGGCAAATGTGACCATTTTTTTTACAACCGTTCAACGAAAAAGGTAATATTAAGTGAACATTTTACATTTTAAATGTAGCCTACATTTTAAACAGAATATTGTCATGTTTGTTCTATTTTGCAACGAAATAATAGTTCCGACGAAATCCGTATCATCTGGTGTGCGTCTCCAAGCATCATACAGTATCATACAGTTAGTGAACGAATCAGCGGCTTTGAACTATTTGGAGAGTCCGTGATTAATAACCCATTCATAACTACAGCATTTTGCTTTGTTACTGAATGAATGAATGAATGACGCAACACCTGGCTCAGTAAGACAGCTATACTTGCCGCCACCTATTGGCGGTTTTATTTTTAATCTACAAGTATCACTTCGATTTGCCATATTTTGTTGCTTTATTATATTAATAATACACTTAATGGAATGTTAAGAATATGGCCAACGAAATAATAGTTCCGACGAAATCCGTATCATCTGGTGTGCGTCTCCAAGCATCATACAGTATCATACAGTTAGTGAACGAATCAGCGGCTTTGAACTATTTGGAGAGTCCGTGATTAATAACCCATTCATAACTACAGCATTTTGCTTCGTTACTGAATGAATGAATGACGCGACGCCTGGCTCATTAAGACACATATTGCTGGTTTTATTTTTAAATCTACAGCTATCACTTCGATTTGCCATAATTTATTGCTTTATTATATTAATAATACACTTAATGGAATGTTAAGAATATGGCATAAAACATGACATACAATTAATAAAGATAGAAAATGTTTGCCTCTATAAAGGTAAAAAATACACATGTAAATCAATTTAAGGGGGAAAATAATGTCCTTTAATAGAAAAGGTGTGACTGCGGTCTAAGTGGAAGAGAGGGCGTACGCAGAAGAATGTTAAATTCCCCAGGGGGTACGCCGCTGTAAAAAGTTTGAGAACCACTGCTGTAGTAGATATATGCAGTCAGCAGGCGGTTGGTTTAAGTTTTTTTTTGACATCTCCACGTGATCCTGTTTGGTATCGCAACTTGGCTTCTCTAAAATGTAAAAAGCTCTTTGCTGTTGCATTGTACACATACTATAAAATGCAGATTTTTTTTTCTTTCATATGTGCTTATATGGGCTCCTTATATAATTTGGTTCTTTGGTGTCCTTTTGGAGTTTCTAGGTGTCCTTTTTTGGAAAGACATCTAAATTTATCTTGAAAAAAGCTTGCAGAAAATATAGATTTTTGAGAA